ACGGAGAGAAAGGGCCCGGCGGGCTAACGCTAGGGTAAACGGGGGAAAGAAGAGAAAAAGAAGAGAGAGAGAGAGAGAGAGAAGAGACCTAGCCGACGCGCCGTGATGCTCGTGTATTAAAAAATAAAAGGCGTAACAAAGAAGCGGAAGAAACTGCGTACGTTTGATTAAAGTGGCCGTGTTTACTATTTTTATATAACTCGTTACTCCACGCCGGTGTTCCTTCATCCTCTGTCTCGAGCCGCCTGCTCCTTTCGAGCGGTTACACGCAGAAAATCTCAAAATGAAACGGAGACCCCTTTCCCAGGAGAAGGCCGAATAAAACATGAAAAGCTGAGGACGTGTATTTCCTTTGCATCGCGTCCGGAATGAAAATGCTAAATTGGGAGGATTTGCATAACGAGATAATCCCGTAACGATCTGAGACCGCGCTTACAGTTTCACTGCCTTTTATATCATAACCGTATTAACCGTACAGTACAGACTCGATGCTTCACATCAACTGTTGCCATTTTTTAAATTGTCTCGAAATAAACTCCTTTTTGCTACAACAATGCTCAACAAAAGAAATATCCTTTAACGTTAAAAAATATAAATAAAGGTCTACAGGGTTCAATACGGATTCTGGCTATGCTAGCTGATAGAATTTCTACTGAATGTATTCCCTCAATTTATTGTTAAAACTCTGCTAATTAACGGTTCACGATCTTTTCCGGAAGAACCGAAAGGAGTACCGCCCACCGTTCCACGGTTCGTTATCGAGAACCGTATTTTCGTAGAAGACTGTACCGGAGTTTCGCGGTGAAAGAGATTTCCGGACTCCTTTCAATGAACGGCCAACATTCTCATTGTGAGAAAATATATTTCACACGACGATGATCATCGTTTCTCTCGTTTTTGTTAGTTTAATTAGGCATCGTCCAAAAATTCTCGTCTTCACTGTTATTATTAGATCGCAAACTCATATGCAAAATGAAATATTTATTATGTCAATTTAAAAAATGAAATTCTGCATGAGATTTCTTTTACCCAACAAAAATAATATTTACTTCTGCATATATATAAAACATGTATTATTACACGTCACGTCTATTCCTTTATATTTTCTGCATATCAAATTCACAATCTAATTAGTCCAATCATTACTAAACTGCAGAATTCTACATCCTTGAGTGGAACTTGATTAAAGATAATTTCAAAGAAAAATGTGTTAATGCTACTTTGAATTTTAATGATTCGATACAAGTTTCTTTCGAGCGATTAACTGTTCAACGTCGTAATCGTCGAGAAAGAATGCAACTAAGTATTTGTTAAGCTAGGACAACGTGACACGCAGGTGGCAGGGAGCGACAGCCGTGTGAATGGTTTATTCGCGTCACGCGTGCAGAAGCGCATAATTGCATGCCCTTCGCACAATCATGGAATACGAAACAGGAAAATACATTGTTCTCTAGTTGTCATCGATATTAATTACAAAATCAACGCTCTCTGTGAGAAGAGAACTCGAGAATGTCTGGTTTCATTTGACGGAAACGATCAACAGACTGTGAATTTTTATGGGAAACAAGTGAGATCTGAATTAAGATTTCTTGTAATGATGTCTACTCATCATATAGTCTATACATTAAATTTTTCTATAAGTGCGTAAAATCTGCAGTCATAGAACGCAGCGATAGAATGAAAAAAATCTACTCTATCATTTTAATAAACAATTTCTATTAAATTGATTGCTTTGTGAAATTTGACTCACCAGATAGAGGAGAGTTCGTCGAAAACAATCTACGATATCCTCTTCCTTCTCTATCGGAGCACTATAAACCACTATATGAAACACTAAATGTATCCTCGAATAGTCCCCGTTGATCGAACTAACAAAATACTCACGAAAAGGACGAGTATTTAAAAAGAAATGCTCTATCCATCTATACATTAAATTTTTCTATAAGTGCGTAAAATCTGCAGTCATAGAACGCAGCGATAGAATGAAAAAAATCTACTCTATCATTTTAATAAACAATTTCTATTAAATTGATTGCTTTGTGAAATTTGACTCACCAGATAGAGGAGAGTTCGTCGAAAACAATCTACGATATCCTCTTCCTTCTCTATCGGAGCACTATAAACCACTATATGAAACACTAAATGTATCCTCGAATAGTCCCCGTTGATCGAACTAACAAAATACTCACGAAAAGGACGAGTATTTAAAAAGAAATGCTCTATCCCGCGGAAATTTTCGACAATGATTTCCTGTCCGTTCTACTCTGATCAAACTTTTCTGGATTAGTGATTCTGTTTCTTGAGTGCTTGTCGCGAGGAAAATCGGTTTAGATGCAACCGAGTGGGAAACGCGTGAGAAACGAAAACGCCGGTGTGGCCACTGTCAGACGACTTCACGAACGAATGACGAACGAGCGAATGGTTGGAGGGTCCGTAGGCATCGGCTCTTTTCCCCCGAGGACGAAAGAAGAGGTAGGAAAGGAAGCGAGCCACGGCGCAGGTTACAGCCAACGCTGTGCTAAATCGTACGGTTTCCGGGAAGAATCTGAACTAATATCAAACGCCGTTTCAATCCTCAGTTTCCAATTTTTAATTGAAAGTTATATTCGGTGTGTACGAAACATTCGCTGCATGTGAACACAATTTACAGTAACTATTTCGATTCAAGTGGAGACATTACTTTTTATTTGATATTATCTCAGCAACATATGATCAACGTAAGAAAAAGAAACAGTCCGTTTACGAAAATTGGTATAACTCGAGTATCCTAAAAAGTTAAACTACCAGGATTATCATTCGTCATTGCCTTATTTCAATTTGACGAATCACTCCATCATCCACTTCAAACAAGCGGCTACAAAAAAAAACACGAACGAAAAAAGTGTAAAATTGGTGAATATGAAATGTCTTCAAATGCAACAAATGTTCGTGTAGAATATCATGTATATGGTTCGCATAATTTATAAGACACTTTTACACATTCGTGAATAATTAAATCATTTCACTGTCACAGATATATTAAAAACTGCAGTCCAATTCTATGTTCATTAATCTTTAAAATAGTGCATTTCAACTACAAACTGGTTGTACGAAATCAATCAATGATTCAATTATCATTTAACAAATAACGTTCCAATGTATTTGAAATTAGAACAAATCTTGTACACCAAATTACGTATAATAATTCTTGACAATGATGAAACAAACTGTATGATATTCGATCAAACTTAAAGAACAAAGAGACGTTTTATATGCATCAATATTCTTGACTAAAGAAGGGAAGTGTAAGCCTGACAATTTTTTCCTACACATCTACCATCTCTGACTTAAAAGGTAGAGCTTTGTGCGTGATGTCGACTCCTCCTGCTACGATGCACTCGACAGCTTTCTTAGTGCAGACATTTCCATCTTTCCCCCCCTTGCTAACATGCAACCAGGCTTTCAATTTTATTTCGTATCTCAATCATACACAGTATTTACGTACTCCGCATCGGGTTTGCAATGCGGCTTTCCTGCCGATTCCATCCAGAGCACCAGCCTGTCAAATCAAACTCTTGAACGTAAATCTAATTCTTAACAGTCGACCGCTAAACTTCAGATAAGGCAGGTCGTGTCCAGGATAATATTTTATGTACCACAACTGAGAATTTTATTTCTGTACTAAATGTAAGTCACGGAAATAATAAAATCTTTCGCACTTCTACTTCCTATAAGCTGTTAAATGTCCTATGTGCTGTGAGGTTGCCCGTTCGCCACGTGCCCGCAAACACGTTTCTGCAATTAGACCTAGGAATCGCTATTGTGCCAGACTCTGACCCTCTCAAACAGAATGTTCACAATGGGAATGCGAGCAATTTGCTGAGAGCGACTGGCCCAATTACGGGTCGATCATGGAATCGGGCAGACTTTGCCAACAAGATTCTCTAAATTACTGCTCCAGTCTTTTTAACGAGCTTATCCAAGGATTCTCCCTCATTTCGTATCCCATTTCAATAAATTAATTAGAACTTCAATTATCACTAAAATACAGATTCTCATGCATTTATAAAAATGGGAATTCTCGAATAAGAGACTAAAAAATGTGGAAATGACAATTTCTAATCAGGAATAATCGAACGCCTGAAGAGAACGGTCGACGAACCTCGAAAGGAATGTCCATGGTGAATAGAAGCAGAGAAACTTTTCTTCGTAAGGAAAGAATGTTCACGAAACGAGTGCCAAGCAATTTATTCCGATCTCCGTCCCTGGAGCAACAAGAAGCAGAGCATGACAGCGCCATGAAGAAAGAATACTGGACACAGTTTGTTGGCAGAGCCGCTTATGAAGAATATCCGTCATTACAAGACAAATTCGCCGAAATTCGCACCCTCGACAATCGTTGCCAATCTGTTCGTAGCTCCCCCGAAATTATTTCAAGGAAGGTCCAGTAAATCATAAAAATATGTCAACGAAATCAAACAAATTCAACAATTGTTGATAGAAGTTTTGTGACATAATTAAAAACTTGAGAGAAGAGGATAAAACTTAAAGTATT